GTTGTTAACTCTTGCGCTATGGGTGTCCTATTGAGGAATTTGGAGCCCGACCCCACAGTATGTAGATCATAGCCAACTTCTATCAGATGCCACGTCTCTGATTTAATATCAAGCTCCTTGATCCATTTTGAGTTAACTTTTGTGCATGGTGAGAGAAAGGGATTCAATTTCATTTTGTTGCATATGGATTTCCAGTTTTCCCAGCACCATTTGTTGAATATGCTATCCTTCCTCCATTGCAATTTATGATATTTTTATAATTTATTCTTGTAAAGATTTCATGCTAGTTTCTTATCTATGTAGCATTTGTAGAGCATGGATTTGACCCTCAAAAACCCAGCCAAATTCAATGGAGAAATTTGTAGTACTGAGATCTCTATTCAAACTATTTTTTTCCCCTTGTTTTGGAAGTGAGACATTGTCATTAAGGAAAATGGGGAGGTATATAGAACACACACCATCCAACAGCCAGTTGCTGTTATACTACTAGCTTTATCTACGTAATTTTTCTTTGCATAGTTTATTTAGTTGTTGGTTTTGTGTGTGTATAAAATATTGAGCTCTTTTTTAATGACAGAATCACAGAAGATATATATTTTTATTATATAAATAATAACCTACATTATTATAGTAATCTCAGACAAGATTTTTAATACCTGTGTGATACTCCAGCTAGCCCAGTGGTGTTTATCATGTGTTCACTGAGAAGTGAGCAAGACTCAAGGGTGCAGCAGCTGGAAGGGCAGGTTAAGGAAGGGAAGGGGGGCTTCAATTCCTGCTTTTACTGACTCTGCTTTTGTTATTTCATATTCAGGCTACCTGGGTCTGAGGTTGCATTTCTCTGTGAAAGATTTTATTTGAAGAAAGTGTTAAAAAAATTTGAAAACTATCCCCTAGTTGTTCGCTTATCCATTCCATATATGTGTGTATATATATATGTACACGTGTACACATATGGTATATATTTGCTATTATAGATACTATTATTAATATTGCTTTTATGCACAATGCTTTTTCTTTATGTGTAATTATTTTTTAGAGCATATATTCCAAAATGAACTTTCTTTTTTTTAAAAAAATATTTATCTTTTAGTTGTAGTTAGACATAATACCTTTATTTCACTTATTTATTTTTATGTGATGCTGAGGATCGAACCCAGGGTCTTGCACTCGTGAGGCAAGCGCTGTACCGCTGAGCCACATCCCCAGCCCCTCAAAAGCATTTTTATAAAGAACCTTTTTGACACTCTCAAGTTATGCATATAATATCAAAGGATCCACAATGATGAGCAAGTATTTTATGTATCTTGGTATTGCTGTGAAACTTCTTATTAATTTAAAATAAAAATCTAAAAGTACGAAGATTCCCTCTGACCAAAGCTGACAAATACTGCATACAGGGGAGTTTGTTTTCCTTATTAACAAGAATAGCAAAACCAAACTAAACAGAATTGTATTTGCATCTGACAGAATAGAGATTGTAACTTTTGGCAATACCCAATTGTGTTTGTATATCTTCCCTTTCTTTTTTCAGGTTTAAGCAACATAAAACTGACTTTGAAACAATTCCACAGCAGCGCCCCATTGATCTGCCTTGCCAAGTGACTGGCTGCCAGTGCAGGGCTTACCTTTTTGTGCCTTTGAATGGCACGCAGCCTGTTCGCTGCAGGTGCAAGCACTTTGCTGATCAACACAGCCCTGCACCTGGTTTTACATGCAATGCATGTAAGTTACACTATTATACATAGCCACAGGTTGGTTGAATTTCTCTATTGAATATTGAATGTATCTTTGTACCAGTTTAATCAGGTACAGAGTCAATATTAAAGAGCTAAGCAGACTGGGATAGAGCACAGGAGGGAGGGTGTCTATGTGGGGCTAAAGTGACTTTGGTTAAAACCGAGATAGATGTGGATAAGGAACTCAAGGAAGACCCTCATTAACTCACACATATTATCTAAATTATTCATGGCCCTGGATTATTCCTTATGATCATCCTATTTTATAAGAGTTTCACGCATGAAATTACATTATATGTGGATTTACTTAACGCAAAATATATATTTAATTTACTTACACAAAATATCTTTATTAGTAGGGCACAGTGGGGCACACCTCTAGTCCCAGGGGCTATGGAGGCTGAGGCAGGAGGATCTTGAGTTCAAAGCCAGCCTCAGCAATGGTGAGGCGCTGAACAACTCAGGGAGACCCTGTCTCTAAATAAAATACAAAATTGGGCTGGGAATGTGGCTCAGTAGTTAAGTGTCCCTGAATTCAATCTCCAATACTAATCTCCCACAATAAAATATCTTTATTAATGATCCAACCCTGACAAAAACAACTCTTCTTATTCTTCTTTTCAACAAAAGCCTAAGAGAGGAGGAGTCAAATGGGCATTCACATCACATCAGTTCATTCAGGAAATAAATCAGAGCACCTACTCTGTCCTAGGCACTATCATTCCAGGCACTGAAATATAGTGGTAGGCATGAGCATGACCTTCCTCACCTGCAGACACAATTCAGCCTCTTGGTATTTTGGTCTCTTGATATCTGCAATTATCTCTTCATTTTGAATTTTATCTTATCTTGAATTGAAAAAAAAAAACAACTAAGCAAAATTTAATGTATAGATACATAGAGTTATTGGCATGCTTAGTAATCATGAACTCTAACCTCATAAATTATGGGAATAGATTTTATTTAGAGAATTACAGGACACGATCCAATCTGATTCAAACATTTAAAAAGTGGGAGTTTAATCAAGTAAATTTTTCTTGTTCTTCTCTCCTGCTTCTTGCTCTTTTGTTCTTCTTGTTTGGGAGATCAAACCCAGGGCCTTGTGCATGTTAGGCAAGAACTCTACCACTGAGTTACAACTGCAGGCCTCAACTAAGTTTTTTTCAGATTTAAAATATATATAAATGTCTGTGTATTTTTTAGTTGTACTTGGATACAATACCTTTATTTCTTTATTTATTTTTATGTGGTGCTGAGGATGGAACTCAGCACCTTGCATGAGTTATGCGAGCGCTCTACTGCTGAGCCACAGCCCCAGCCCCTTTTCAGATTTCTAAAAAGAATTTCACACATCAAATATTTGAGCTGAGCCAGGTGAGGTGGTGGATGCCTGTAATCCAGTAGGCTTGGAAAGCTGAGGCAGGGGGATCTCGAGTTCAAAAGCAGCCTCAGCAAAAAGTGAGATGCTAAGCAACTCCATCAGAATCTGTTTCTAAACAAAATATAAAATAGGGCTGGGGATGTGGCTCAGTGGTTGAGTGCACCTGAATTCAATCCCTGTTATAAAACAAAAATTTGGTTGGGGGGCTGATATGATACTCAAAATTTTTCAGATTGGGGTGTAGTCTATGCAAATATTCCAAAATCCAAAGAAGTCTAAAATCTGAAATATTTCCAGGCCCCAAAACTTTTGATAAGGGAAACTTAACCTCTAAAACATTTTAATTGAAAGGAGCAGGAATGAACATGTTTCAAAGACATCATATAAGTGTTGGATAAAGCAGATTTATGTGTCATGGCTCTCTCTATTTTTGAGAGGTGTGAACTGGTAATGATTCTACTAATGATATATTCTGGCTTCCATTCCAATATGGCTTGTTTTTTTT